GACTTTTTTGCTGTGAATCTTGACATTAAATCATTAATTATTGAATCCTTTTGAATGTCCTGGGCTAAGTTTCCATTAACTGCTGCTTTTTAAATTTTAGTCCTAGGAAATTACATCAAGGAATAATTTAGTAGGTCTTTAAAGTGTCCAAGAGAGCTCTAGCTTCGGTGGCACAGTCAGTTTGGAAAAGGGAGTTGTGCTATTAACATAGTGGTGGTTCTTCACTAGCAGTTCAAACACACCAGCAACTCCATGGAAGAAAGATGGGGAGAATCTCCTGTCATGAGGTTTTTGATCTCTAAATCCCTGATGGAGGCTCAGCGATGACGGGGCTCTGACTCAACAGCTATGAGTTGGTTGATATTAGTATCAGTGCAAATTCATTTTAGGGCAAATATTTCTAGAGATAAAATGGAAGGAATACAGTAACAAAAAGAGTAAAGAAGTTTCACCTGTTTCCCCCTCGTATTCTATCTTTTTCATTTCTTCTACTTGAAGCTGTTTTTAATTTAAGTCATGCCACATCAGCAGATGTACATCCTTCACTAGCTGAAAGTACTTTCTTCAGTTGTTATTAATGTTGACTTCACTTTCAGGAGGCAGTTTTGTCAGTTTGCCATATTATGGTGACATATATGGTGCTGTGATGTTGGAAACTTTGCCAGAGATGTTTCAAATACCTATAGGTTCATATAGTCGAGAGGTTTCACTGGAGCTTTCAGACTAAGACAGACTAGAAAATAGTCCTAGTCATTGTACGATAAAATTCTAGAAGATGAGATCCTCAAGTTGGGAAGTACACAAAATACAGCTGGAGAAGAACTGTCTCCTCAAAGTAGAGTCTATCTTTAAGTATGTAGTATCTTCAGGTATGTACCATAAATCTTTGTAGATATCCTTTATGTTAGGCAAGCTCATTCAACTAATTTACTAAGAATGGCATCTTTAAACCTTAGACCAAAAATATTCCCTGAAGTCTTAAAACTAAACAACAATTTTTCTTCACTCGCCACTGGACCAATCGGCAGCATCAGGATGCATGGTGAAGAGATTGAGATTGTACACAGCTTTAGTCTGCTTGGCTCCATAGTCAACAGTCTTGGCACCAGCAGCCAGGAAATTAAAAGGCGCATTGCCATGGGAAAGTCTGCTGTTAGGGACCTCTCCAAAGTGCTGAAGAGCAGTGGTGTCTCTCTGGAGACTAAGGTGCGTCTGATACAGGCCATAGTCTTCGCAATCACCTGTTATGCATCAGAGAGTTGGACAATGACCAAGGAGGATAGAAGGAGAACTGATGCCTTTGAGCTGTGGTGCTGGAGAAGAGTACTGGGAATACCATGGACTGCTAGGAAAACAAATAGATTTGTCCTGGAGAGGGTTAAACCAGGTGGCTCCTTGGAGGCAAGGATTCTGAGGCTCCGTCTAACTTACTTCGGACATGTAGTGAGGAGAGACCGGTCCTTGGAGAGGGACATCATGCTTGGGAGGGTGGAGGGACGGCGCAGGAGAGGAAGGCCCTCTATGAGGTGGATTGATTCAGTGACTGGGATAATTGGGATGGGAGTGTCAGAGACAGTGCGATTGGCACAGGACAGAGCGGAGTTTAGGGCTGTTGTACATAGGGTCGCTATGAGTCGCAGGCGACTCGACGGCACATAACAACAACAGTAAAAAAATGTTCTCAGCATTGTGCTCATTTAAGATCTATATGTATAGGATGGAACTGACAACAGTAATCAAAAGATTAGGCTGGAATTTTAGGGGATAGTAAGTTTATACTAATGAAAAAGTAGCATGAGAATGGTTGTACAACTTGAAGAATGTAAACAATGCCACTGAACTGTACATACAGAAAATGTTGAATTTGTATATTTCTCAACATTAAAATACTTTTAAAATCTGCTAAGGACCTTGGTAAAATTGTCTTAACATTTTAATATTTGAGATTTTAATCATTTCCATCTATCCAATTATACTAATCATTAGATATGGGTTTCCCTAGAGTATAACTTTGGTAGACCTTGAAGTTCACCTAGTTTTGTAAAATTAACACAAGAGTCCATTTTTTTAAATTACCTTCCATGTTGTCACTTATTTTTCCAGCTGCCTTTTAGGTGTCGGATTCAGCAGAAATATCTGAAGCTTTAAATTCTAATAAATTAAATGGATTAAAATTCCATAGGATTTTTTAAAAACAAACAAACAAAAACACCTGCTAAGAAGACAAATGATGCTGACTGAGGTCAAATGTTAAACCACAATGTATCCTTGGAATAAATCCAACTTGGTCACATACTTTTCAAGTATACTTGATTTAGGTTACTATCATTTGGTTTGTAATATTACAGTTGTGTTTTCAAGACTGTTCTATAATATTCGTTTCTAGACTTACCAGGTTTTGTTGTTGTTGTGTGTTGTCAAGTCAGAACTGACTCATAGCTGACACTCCAGCAGGTTTTCAGAGGCAGCAAATAACACACGGAGCAAAGAGCCCATCCTTCTCCAATGGAGTAGCTGGTAGATTTGAACCTCATGCTTTTGGGATTGCGGCACAGTTTCTTACCAATGGTCACTAGAGCTATTAAGTTTTAGTCTCATGAATTAGGAATATGAACTAATTCTACATTTTGAAATTGTTTTTGTAAAACTGGAATTATTATCCTTGAGTCTTTCACTAGCAAAGCTATCTAGGTCTACAGTCTCTGTATAGAAAGATTTCCAACTACAGCACAGGTTCTAGTACTTCAATGTCTATAGAACACTCTGAGCTTTCTCAGAGACCATTTTGGTAAGTTACATGTTTTTAAAAACTTGTTGATTTTATCTTTCCATCCAATTGGTACAAAGTTGCTTTTTTAGACAATGTCCAAATTATTGCTAAGGAAACAGTTTAAGGATATCTTCATTGAAAGACAGGTCAGTGAATTTGTTTTCATTGTTCCTTACTTCTAAACCACAACCTCCTGACTAGACTGCTCTCTTCTCTACTTCACAAACTGGTGAATTCTGTTTTTAAAAGCTCCGTTCATATTTTCTCTTTTCTGAGGCTTCTAGAGTCCTCTTTTCAGAGTCCCTGGGGCTCTCCTAGCCCAGTAAATCTCTTTCTCTTAATGTCACACTGTACTGCAATTCTGTTTATATTCTTGTCTCCCCATATACACTGTAAACTCCTTCCTCTTGGTTTGCATAGGAGAAACAAAATAATCCATCAAGAATTGTGGAACTTAACTGAGCTGGTAACCATTAAATGACCAACTAATTTCTCTATATGTTTGTTTGTTTCTTCATCTACTTCATTCATTTAGTATTCAATGAGCACTAGGTACTATTTTGGAAGAATGACCAGTAAGGAAAGAGAAAAACTAGGATAGTTTAATGTCCTGGAAACCAAGTGGTGAACAGGTTTCAAGATAGAGATGAACAACTGTGTCAAATGTTGCTGATGGGTTAAGTATGATGAGGTCTTGATATGCTGCTGTTGTTGTGTACTGTCAAGTCAGAACTGAACAATAGCTGACCCTCCAATGGATTTCCAGAGGCAATATATTACACAGGAAGATACTGCCCATCATCTAGTGGACTCAAATCGTGTTTCTTTGGGTTGGCAGCACAATTCCTTACCACTAAGCCACCAGAGCATCTTACTGTTGATATAACAAGGTGAAAATTATGAGTGACTTCATCAGTTTGGCTGAAATTATTGGACAAAAACCTAATTGGAGATGTTCAAAAGAGCACTGGAGAAGAAAAAAAGAACTAAAGAAAGCTGGTATACATATTTTTCTCAAGAAATTTTGCTTAAAATTAGCAGGTAAAATATGTGTTTTATTTTGCTAATTGCATGCAGTTAAATGTGACTACACTATGTTGTTGTTTTTTAAATTCAAAGTCAGTTTTATTTCTTTTTTTATGCTCTTAAAATTTTAGGACTGTATTTTGTTCATCTTTTTTTTTGTACCATTCTGATTCTTTTTTTAAATTTTTTTATTAGATTTTTAAATTTAAATTTATTACTAATTATACTATCTTTCAAAGTTTCCTAATTTCCTCTTTTGAGTAAAATGTATTATCTGTGTACATCAACTTCAGTATCTATATTTCCTAACACATTAACTCTGATGTCCTTTCTGAGGTCTTTCTTGTCTTAAGCACAGAGTGATTACCCTACTGGTGTCAAAGCCTGTTTTTGTTTTTCTTTTTAAGTAACCTTAAAATCTTGTGGCTTATTCACAACTAATGTCCCCAAATTCACAGTTGACCATATTGACTACAATAGCCATTTGAGTCACACGCAACCCTTACATGTTCACCACTCTTCCTCTCTTTCCAGCTATGTCCGCCATCAACCATTACACACATACAAACTTGTACAAGCAGAATGTAACAGAAAAAGGACCTACCTAAGAAAGACCACATAGATATAGAGTAAGAGATGAGGTGACACAGATCCTTATGAGCATATTGAAGCAGCAAGTATGGTTACATTCCACCCCTACTACTCACAAAAGTGACCACCCTCATGTCCAAACAGGAAATCACTGCACAGTAAGACACATCTTTTCTCATAGAACTCTATTGTGGCATATAATAGGTATTCTATATACATTAAATTAAAAATAAAAGCTCCAGCAGGTTGTAGAAGGTGGTTGTTAATAAATATATCTCTGGGTAATTGTGCCTCAAGACCAGCTCATGACCATTCTGCCTCATCCAGAGAATTATATAAAAATAAATATAAGCTTGGGGGGGCATACCCAGTTCAGTTCTGGAGGTTTTTCTCATTAATATAATCTACCTTGTTTCTCTTCACTTGTATCACACAGGGAGCCTGTGCTGATTGGGGAATTAAGGGCTGGGAAAGCCTCTCTCAGAAGCAAAGAATCCCCTCAATGCACAGGCCACTTATTCCATTTCAGTCCTCTGGGAATGGTAGAGGTGCCATCCTCTCCTTGGGCTCCAGTGAAGAAGAAGTCTGTTATTGCCAGTTCCACAAACAGCCCCTATGAGAACCAAGCCAGAGAGAGAAATAGAGCAAACACCAGGATAAACAACCCACTGTGAAGAGCCACAGGTACCACCACTAGCCCAGCCAGGACCCCCAGAGTCTGGGCCAAGGGTCTCTGTAAATGGGAAGGCAATCCATACATACATTCTCCAGGTGAAGCTTGAGCATGAGACTTATTTTGAGGTTCAAGACATGGGCCTGAATCCTCTTTATCTTGGGAATTCATATAAGGTTTGTCTGGACTGGAAGAACAGACTTCAGCCTTCAAGGGAATCAAGTCTGTTTTGAGGAACCTAGGGTTTTGTCTCTGCCTAGAGACTAGAACAGCTGGCTCCTTGCCAGATATAGGAATCACACTGTCTGTCCACTCAGTAGTAAACTCTATTGGGTTTTCTGCCATAGCCTCCCCTTGGGAGTTGGTTATTCCATCTATCACTCCATTTATGTGCAAAGAATCAGTGTCCTTACCCATTCCCATATCTGGATCTCTAATAAACTGATCCTCTGTACATAAAACCACAGGGTTATCACATTCTGAGCCATCTACCCATGGAAGCCACACATCTCCCACAGTGGCTACCACAGACTGGATCCCAGAGAGGATTTCTGGGAGGAACTCCTTGGGAGTGTCCTCTGCTGGGCTGGAGGGTGTAATGGAATGCCCCTCTTCACCCTCCCCATCCTCATCAAGGTCCTCAGTGTCCTTGATGAGCTCTACACCACGTCCCAGCCGGGCATAGTGTAGTGTGATCTCTTCAGCCAAAGCACTGTTTAAGGCCCGCTCAGGGCCAGGCCACTTCAAAATCAAGTCTCGATCTGTTAGTATGCCCATGGAATGGCAGGGCAACAACCCCCCATCTGTGTTTACCTCCCCACCAGTCACCAGCCCTCCTGCAGCCACAGCAGCCCTCAAACGGCTCAAGTGGGACAAATAGAGTTGCTCCAGCTCTTGGTCAATGGTGTCCTCACCAAGCAGCTCTTCCACCCTACTCCCAACCTCCAGACGCCCAGGGGACTCATCTATAATCACTCCCACCATGGAGTCCTTTTGGCATCCTCCATTTTCACTGGATACTTTCCATGTGGCCTCTACTTGTTGTTGGCTGAGTTCCAAAAAAGGCCTTGTTTCCCCTTCAGTCCCATCTGGACCCGAAGCCTGGTCCCTGGGTGTGCTACCTAGACCACCAAGAGGGGAGGAGGGAGGAATCCTTATGGCAGGTGCCTGGGGAACCTCTGTGAAAGCCACAGGTAGACTGCTCCTATGGATGTCACCTTCCTCTGGGGAGTTGCCAGTCACAGTAACTTCAGAAACCTAGAGCCATGGGGATGGAGATAGGAAAAGAGGGAGGGGAGGAAAGGGGGAAGGAAAGAGTAGAGAAGGGGGTGGGATAAGCAGAGACAATGAGAACTGATGACAGCCTATACCAAGTCAAAAGTTTCCAGACAAAAACTCCTTAGAGTTTTCTGTAATTATCTAAACTCCAAAGACTATGTCATCTATATTACAATTACAAAATTAGATGAAGTAAAGGAGTAGGATGGCTTCCTGAAGATAACAAATCAGAAGAATTCAGTGAGCATCAATATATGGTGAATGACTCCATCAGTAACTACTGTGAGTATAACCTTCAAAATAAATAAAAAATATCCACATTAATTAAATTAATTCTTTTTAAAAAAATCTTTCCTAGCTCTGTCTTTTGAAAGGGTTTTTAAAAAAATGGCTAGTTTAGTAGCAATAGTATCTGGCACTCAGATCTTGTTTGCTAAATATTCTTCTTCACTAAAAGGAATCAAAAAACTCAAACTGAACCTACTGCTATTGAGTAGATTCTGACACATAGTAACCTTCCATTAGGTTTCCAAGATTGTAAAGGAGGAGACAGTCCATCTTTCTAATGGAATTGAATTATCATTTTGGTTAGCAGCCTAACACACAACACACTGTGCTCCTTAAAGAAATTACTATTTCCAGTTTTGGACAGCAAAATACAAAATCGGATTGGGAACATCCTGTAGCTCTCATGGCCTAGTGAAAAAGGTAGGGAGGTGCACTGACAATCCAAAGGCAAGTGGTTCAAGCTGTTCCATAGAATAAAATGGGCAACCTCCTTCTGTGCAACTTAAAGTCTCTGAAACCCTACTGAAGGGCCAGCTATGAGTCAGTTCCAATTAGACAAGAATGAAAAGATAATGGATTAAAACTGATCAAATATGATCAAAGCCTATGTGTTAATAAGAACATAATTTAAACAAAAATCTTCTAATTGTTAAACTCTGGAGGAATTTATTTATTCTGGAAACTGTAAATAAGAGGGAGATAAAATTAATTCCTTTTGCTGTACATTTACTTTTACTATACAAACTAGACTTCAAGGTAGCCAAATAGTTGATATGGGAAGGTTTTTCTTTAGAAGAGAATTCTAGTTAATAAATGAAAAGGGAAAAATAGAATTAAGATTTCAAATTTGAACTTCCACTGAAATAATGAACCTACGTTATAATAAGGGAGCTCAAGTGGCATAGTATCTAGAGAGCTAATCCAAAAGTTGCCCCTCTCTGGCAGTTCAAATCCACCAGTAGTTTCTGGTGAAAAAGACAGGCAATCTACTTCTGTGTGATTTACAGCCTGGTAAATCACCGAAGGTGGATCAGCTATGAGTCAGTTCATAAACAATAACAATGTTTGAAGGTTTTTTAAATTTTTTTCCATTTCAAACAATAATAATCAATGGCAGTTAAAACCATCAAGTGATAAACTAATGGGAAACTATAATAGAGAGATAAAGCTGGCACTACCTGATCTATCTTGATATCAAAGACCCTTAAAATCATCCACTACTTGGAACATACCCTGAGAATATGAGATCTGAGGCACAAACTGAGATGTGTACACCAATGTTCATAGCAGCATTATTCGCTATCACAAGAACATGTCCGACCACAAACAAATGGATTGAGAAATCATGCTATATTCACACAATGGAATATTATGCAGCACGCAGGAGCAATAACTTTGTAAATTATTACCTAACTTGGGAGGGACTGGACGGCATTATGCTGAGTGAACTCAGTCCCACAAGGATAAATATTGTATAAAAACCGTTATTGTAGAATGAATATAAGGATCCAGGAGGGGTGGGAGAGAGAGGCTAGAAGCAGAGGGATGTGCACAGAGTGGAGGGGGATTAATCATTTTGTTGTACAATTTGATAGTGGGCTGTGAGGGAAACGGAAAGAATTTGTTCAAATTTGTATTCAAGTTTTGTAAATAAAGTAGTAGGGGATAAAAAATCATGTCCTCCTGATACAATAAGAATTGTTATGTGCTGCCAGGTCACCTGCAACTCATAGCGACCCTATGTACAACAGCCCTAATTCCTGTTCTATCCTGTGCCAATCTTATTGTCTCTGACACACCCCATTACCCCAGTCACTGAATTAATCCATCTCATTGAGGGTCTTCCTCTCTTGTGATGTCCCTCCACCCTCCCAAGCATGATGTCCCTCTCCAAAGACTGGTCCCTCCTTGTAACATGTCCAAAGTATGTCAGATGAAACTTCAGAATCCTTGCCTCCAAGTAGCAGCCTGGTTTCACCCTCTCCAGGATGAACCTGTTTGTGCTCTTGGCAGTCCATGGTATATTCAATACTCTTCTCCAACACCACAGCTCAAAGGCATCAATTCTCTTTCTATCATCCCTAGTTATTGTCCAACTCTCTGATGCATGGCAAGTGATTGCAAAGACCATGGCCTGTATCAGACACACCTGAGCCTCCATCACTGCTCTTCAGTACATTGGAGAGGTCTCTGACAGCAGACTTTCCCAATGCAATTCACCTTTTAATTTCCTGGCTGCTGGTGCCAAGAGTGTTGGCTGTGGAACCAAGCAAACCAAAGCTGTTAACAATCTCAATTTCTTCACCACCGATCACTGTGCTGCTAATTGACCCAATGGTGAGAATCTTTGTTTTCTTGATATTGAGCTTCAATCCATATTTAAAGCTGCAGTCCTTGACCTTCTACAGCAAGCACTTCAGGCCCTCCTCAGTTTCAGCAAGCAGGGTTGTGTCATATGTATAACATAGATTGTTGATGAGTCTTCTTCATAGAGCCCAGTCTCCTGGATAATGTGCTCTGCATATAAATTGAAAGGGTATGGAGATAGGACACATCCCTGGTGTACACCCTTCCCAATTTTGAACCATGTAATGTTCCCTTGCTCTGTTCTGGTGACTGCCTCCTGGTCCAACTATAGGTTTTGTTCTGAGATTCCCATTGTTCTCAGAGTTAGCCACAGTTTGTTTTGGTCCACACAGTCAAATGCCTATGCATAGTCAATGAAACACAGATAGACATTCCTCTACTACTCCCCTTTTTCAGCCAAGATCCATCTAACATTAGCTACAATATCCCTCATACCACGGCCTCTTCTAAACCCAGCCTGCACTTTTGGCAGTTCTCTGTTGATGTACTGTTCCAGTTGTTTTTGGATAATCTTCAGCAGAATTTTGCTTGCATGTCATAGTAATGATATTGTTTGAGAAAGAGGAAAATCATATCTGAATTTAATTAAGCCTTTAAAATGATTAGTTCATAGGAAATCTGCTGTTGTTATGTGTCATTGAGTCAAAACTGATTCACAGGTTTTCACGAGCCCTAAATTAATTACACGGAAACTGACAATCTTTTTCCCATAGAGCCACTGGTACATTCGAACCACATACCTTTGGGTTGGCAGACATGGATACAATCAGTCAAATTCAGACTGTAAGAAACAACAGTATCAACAACTACTCTTTTTCAACAAATAAATTATAAGAAAAGAAATTTAAAAGAGATAAACTAATTTTTTAAAGTCTAAGGAGACATATCAACCAAATGCAATGTGTAGATACTGTTTGGATCCTAAAACACTTCCAAATAAGAAGACATATATAATTATACAAAATAATTACTGTTAATTTATGAGGTATAATAATGGTTCTACCATTATATTTTCCTAAGGGTTCTTAATTTTTAAGGATAAAAGCTGAATTATTTAGAAAAAAATTATTTCTGTGTTTGTTTCAAAATAATCCCATAGGACACAGAAGGTAATGGGCAATCTCCTAGCATGTGACTTACTACTTCTGAAAATCTGTCTGAGGGTCAGCTAAAGGTCAGTTCTAACTCAATAGCAGTCAACAACAACAGAGCTATAAAGTAGTATTGAAAATATGCTGACATTTATTGAAGTTTAGTAAGAAGTAAATCTTTATTTGTTATGCTATTCTTTTCTGCCTTTATATTTGTTTTAATTTTTAATAATAAAAGGTTAAGATACATACCAAGGCATACAAAAACACATGTTAACATAACACAACTACTGATGGGGTCTAACTACCTCTCTGTGTCACTACAACCATCACTACTTTCCTGGACTACTACAGTAGCTACCTTTTCACTTGTCACTCACTTCTATCCTTAACTCTACTGCCTATTTTCCACACAAAAGACAGAGTGATCTTGAAACCCTAAATAAGATCATGTCCCTTCTCTGCTCATAGCTCTCCAGTGGCAGCCCACTTTCATTCAGTAAAAGCCAAATATCCCCTCAATAAACTAAAAAGTATGGAAATAATACAAACCATTTTTGCAGACCACAGTGCTATAAAATTAGGAAGCAACAAGAGTACAAAGCTGAAAAATGTGGAAATTAAACAACAAACACCCTGCTTGAACATGAGGGAGTAGTAGAAGAAATAAAAGAAGAAATGAAAAAGTTTCTTGAAACAAATGAGAATTAAAATACAACTTACCAAAACCTCTGGGATACAACAAAAGCACCACTTAGAAATCAATTTATAGCAATAAGCAAATACATCAAAAGAGAAGAAAAAATTTTAATTGATTATTTAACCCAACATCTCCAAAACATAGAAAAAGTACAGCAAAAAAATAAATAAATAAATAAAACCAACAACAAAAACCCCAACAACCTCTAAAAGAAAGAAAATTTTAAAAATTAGGACAAAAAGAAATGCAATAAAAAGTAGAAAAACAATTGAAACTATATACAAAACTAGGAGTTGGTTCTTTGAAAAGGTCAATAAAATTGACAAGCCACTAGCAAAGGTAACAAAGGAAAAGAAACAAAAGATGCAGATAATCTGAATAAGAGATGAAAAGGGTGATGTCACAAAGGAACCAACTGAAAGAAAAAGAATAGCAATAGAATATTATTAAAAACTATACTAAAAAATATATGAAAACCTAGAGGAAGTGGTCTACCCAGCCTGACATAAACTGAAGGAAAAACACCTGAACAG